TCTTTTGGAACGGATATGTAATCTCTTTTGAAACATATTATTGTTATATCTTTGCATTAGACGTAATTAACATAGTTAGGATTAACTCAACACTGTGTTGATAGGACTACTCATACCGTTGTGATGCATTACATATACACGTGATGGTAAATAGAAGTTATGTGCTCATCGTATATAGAAGTATTGAGGTGACAAAAAATTTCTCTAAGTTTTGGAATGAAGGACAGTTTGAATGTTAGTTAAAACTTAGTATGTGAAAGATTACGTGGAGTTGACATTGATATTTTAGATGGTTCCATTGAGTCTAGAACTTTGAGTTTAGATGTGTAGCATATTTTGTTTGTGTACTCGGGGTTCCAAAAGAATCCCAAAGATCCATTTGAGAATTTTGTACCTCATGTGAATTGTTGGTTTGTGTTTTCTGGTGAATATCATTTGTTCTTTGCGATCATGACATGCACCCTCTCTTGCAATCGCATAGGGTTAGTTTTGTGTCCATCGCCGATCACGTAGCTTTTTTTCCGGGTCATCGCGATTCGTGTGGCTGGACCTTGTGATTGCAATGATAAAAATAAATGAGTTGACCTTCTAAGTCAAATTGATCTCAAAGCCTTGATTAGCACGATCGCGATGACCCGAAATATTTTATCAAAATTAAGATTTCAACCTGATTCCTCATTTTTTAATATTGAGAGCTCGGTTTTGGCGATTTCAAAGGGATTAGTCAACATTCCTCAATTGGATCCCCAACTCTTTTACCCATAGATTAATTCATGATTTTGGTGATTAAGATTGAGTGGTGAGTCCAACTTTTGAAGGCTTTTGAAAAGGTTTAAGGCTTATGTTAAATTGGTGATTTAAGAATTGATTCAAACTCCGTTTTTTATTTGGTTTTCACAGTTGGTTTCAAAATGGTTTGGGTAACACAATTTTATATAAATTTCCAGATTTAGCTTCATTTTTGAAATTGGGGTTTTGGGTCAATTTGACCTCATTTTCCAAAACTCTTAATATGGGAGCTAATTTTCGCTAAAAATACATATTTAGCGGCAATTGAGCTATTATCGTCAATTAATTGTCGATAAAGATCATTTTTGATGTGGTGATTACTTATTTGAATAGATTGTGTTGAATTGAAGACTCAACAAAAGGGAAAAGTGCAAGTTTGGGGGTGATTGTTTTGACTAATTAAGGCAAGTGAACTTCTTGACTTTTCTTTGAGTTTATTGAAACCTGTATGTCATTGTATGATTGGAGTACTGGGAATTGGTGAAGGGGGTTCATATGAGAATTTGTGTATTGTAAATTGATGACATGACCTTGTTAAATAACTTGGGTTATAACGAGAATCTAGCTGATTTGTATAACTTAATTATATTGTGGGCAATTGGTCGAATGAGATGATTGACTTGATGGTATTCTTTGACTGTCTGTTGTTGGATATTGATGTTGATGTTGATTTATCGTCCTCATATTTGATCATTGCACTATTTTGTTTGCATTGATATTGTTGTACCACTATTGTGATGTTGAGAGCAAATAGGGAATGGGTCACACATTCATGGCGGATTCATTGAGACGAAATAGGAAACGGGTCACACATTCATGGCGGATTCATTGAGAGGAAATAGGGAACGGGTCACACATTCATGGCGGATTCATTGAGAGGAAATAGGGAACAGGTCACACATACATGGCGGATTCATTGAGTGGAAATAGGGTACAGTCACACATTCATGGCGGATTCATTGAGAGGAAATAGGGAACGGGTCACACATTCATGGAGGATTCATTGAGTGGAAATAGGGAACGGTCCCACATTCATGGCGGATTCATTGAGTGGAAATAGGGAATGGCCAACACATCCGTGGCGGATTTATTGAGATGAAATATAAGGAGCCCTAGTCACTCTTCATTATATCAAGATGCAGCATTATGTAGCTCTCATGTAAACCTATACCAAGTTCTAGCAAGCATGATGCTTGTTTGGCCATAAAATGGTGCATTTGTCTATGCTTGCAGCCAGTATATTGTAACGACATGTTTAGTCGTTTTGAGCAGCAGATTTTATTTCTGGAAAAACTGGCTTACGACGGAACCAACGACGGACCGTCATAGGCACGACAGACCGTCGAGGGTGTCTCGTTCAAAAATACATAGAATTCTGAAAATTGGGTACTGAAATCGACTCTCTGAACTTCGTAACGGAATGGCAGGACGGACTGTCGTGGGCACGACGGACCGTCATAGACCCTTTAATGGAATAGAGTCTCTGAACTCTGTGACGGAGCAGCAGGACGGACCGTCGTAGGCACGACGGCCCGTCACAGGCTGCGTAATCCCAGGCGGGGTGGGATTTCTTTAAATGTTTTAAGGGGCGTTTTGGACTATTCCTGCTATAATTATAAATTTAGTGGGTTAATGTTAATAATTTAACTACTTGAGGGTTAAAAGAGATAACCTTGAATTAATTAATGGGTTAATTAACCATCTTTTATACTTAATTATATGCTAATAAGGGTAAAAGAAAGAGGGTTTGAATAAGAAAAAGAAAAGAACAGAAAGAGAGGGAGAAACGTACGATCAAGAGAAAGAAGAGAATAAAGCTTTGCGAAATTGCTTGCTTGATCAAAATTCTTCAGTGGAGGTAGGTTATGATTTTTATACTATTCGTAGTTAACTCTTAATAGTGAATGATATGTGTTGG